TGCGCGCTATTTTTCTATAATAGCATAGCACACATGAAAAATATCTGAATTTGAATTTTGTTATAAATATGAATAGTATATATATTTACTCTTTTTTTAAAATGTTACTTAGAAAAACTATATATATTTTGTTTTGTAATATATTGATTGCTAATATTTTAGGCTATGTTTTCCTTTTCCTGTTATAGCCTTTAGTGTGATTCTTTTTTTTTTTTGATATATTTTCGCTTTAGTCTTGCTTATTTGGTGTATTTAAGTTTTTAAGCAAATAGTGTTTCTACAATATTTAATAAGCCTTTGAAGTTTTTTTATTAAAATATCTAGGTTTCAAAATTTTGTTCTCCCTTTTTGTTAAAAAAAGAATAATGAATCTGTTAAAATTTTAAAAGACAGACCATCTTTTTAATAAAATAGTCTTTCTGTTCTCTTTTAGAATGTATCATTAACGGCGTCATAATTACCCTTATGACATTAAACATTAATGGAGAACACCAATAAATAAAATCTCAAAACTGGGAAGGAGAAAAATTAGATTAATGCTATGGATAACGCGGAATATATCACCTATTTAAAATTATACATTTTTATAAATACTATTGTTTCACTGTACTTGAGACTTCATTTCCGTGTGCACTTGTGGAGTGTTTTCTTAATGTATACCGCAGTGAAATAATTGCTACTTAAAATTTTGCGCAAAAATACTGTGCTCGAATTTGAATCGGAATACCAAGTGACTAAAGTTTGATGTCTATAGTTTTCATAAACATGATCAGCATGTTCGTATATTTTGCATCATTTTTAAGCGACTGTGTAATTACCTCTATCCTGATTGAATTGAATTGGTCTACCTTCTAGCGAAATTTATTTTCATAATTAATAAGACTAAATGGGAATAAAGCATAGATAAAGTACGTTCAACAATATATAGGATCTTTAATAGCCTTTCTGCTACATTAATAGTACGAAATGTCGAATGACAAAGGAGAGCTTAAGCAGACACTATTAGATTTAGAAAAGGCAACGATACTTAAAAAAGGTAATCAGTATATAGTGCATAGTAAGAAGGACAAAATGATTGCCATTCTTCCTGTACCATAGATATTTAAAATGTCTTTAATAAGAATGAAAATAATTACTATAACATAATAAACAGAATTTGCAGATTGTATGCACTCATATGACTACGGAAATCAAAACATGGGAGCTGCAAGATTTAATCATTTTTTAGGGAACAATGTTTTCTATATTAACTTAGAAAACGTTTCTGAAGTGCGTATATTTCCTTCTATTTGAATAAACTTATTCACATTTAAATTTTCTTCCTATTGAATAATGCTATCTTAAATGTGTACTCTCAAAAGATTAATTGCATCAATGTGTGTAGCCACATAAAAAGATTAAAAAGGATGACTGCTTTTTTTTCAACGATTTACATTCCGTCGAAATTTTATCTACAGAAATTCAGATAACATTGTTAGAGTTATATAAAAATAAGTAAAGAATCGGAGGAATATGCAGGTGAATATAAAGTCAACACAATTATTAAAGCGCTTAAAAGTTTATCATTCTTCATACAAATATATTTCTAAAAAGAAACAGAAAGAAATATGAAATATGAATTACAATTTCAGATATTCTGTACTCACTAAATATTATACAACATTGGCATTATGCATGTTTTAATGAGAGGAGATTAATAAGGATCAGAGAATCATAAGTAATAAATTATTTGGAGGGTCCAATTTTCTACTTCGCACTGGGTAAAATTAATGAAATCTTGATAATTCTCCAATGGGGTTAAGAGCAAAATTCAGCTGTACTGTTTCTTCATATATTCCCAGTGTTCTAAGAATTAATTCAAAATTATTACTAAATAAAGTGACGGTAGTAGAAGCGTCAGAGCGCTAAATTAGAAAAAGGTGTATATTACTTCTTAAAAAAGTCGGTATGTTCCTCAAGAAATATTTCTTAACAGAAGTGAATAATTAGGAAAGCAGAAGCCATATTCATCAATAATGTGTATTCTGTTTCTATGGCTTCTTGCATATAATTCTTTCTTTTTTTTTAATACTGAAGTCTTCATATTCTACACCAGCCGCTGTTACGTAGTGCGGTGCTAAGTTTCGTTGCATGTATTCTTTGCTCATTTACTTGAAAAAATAGGAAATGACATATAATACTGCGTTAGTAAATATTTATTTAGCTTGTTTATCGAGCATTTTATAGTGTATGGGCGAAGTGTATGATTTGAGGTTGGTGAAAATTGAAGAAAAAAAAAAGGAAAGAAAAATTTACACTGTAATTTCTGCTCTAATGCATTATCAACCGCGGGTACTTAGCTGAAGTATTGTTTGGAATAAAACAAACACTGATAATTTAAGCACGAATAGGAGAAAAGCACAGAAGAATAAAATGCACTCTCAATCCTATTTTTGCCTTAATGATACCAATTTAGAATGAAATAATGGAAAACCCCAAATACTTCCTCTTTATCCTCATGAGGGATAGAATAAAATTATCATTGAAGCAATCCTTGAAATGTAACAAGTAGCGGTATAAACTGCTAAGATAAATCACTTAAGTTTGTAATCCTCTCTCACCATTTATCATCTGAATTATCTTGTGTCCGGAACTTATTATCTTAATGTCTTACTCGGGTTCCTCTCCCATCTAAATAACTATCTTCACTTAGCATGCTTCTTAACTAAGATATGGAGGTATAGCGCTACATAAAGGTAGTAGGAGGCCATCCCCACAGTCCAATAAGTCATAAGTATTCCAACCATGACCCACATTGCACTAAACGGTGTATTCGCAATCTGTACTGCAAGGATATTTAAACATACAGAAATTGCGAGTGGAGTAAATACTCTATATTTACTGCATAAAAACTTGAAATATCCTGATAAGCCTCTAC